TTCTTATTCACGTAAGGAAAAGGATTTGTATAGCAAAGGAAGGTCTTAGTCATAGAAATTCCTTGTTAACACATCACTTTATGTAATTAAATAAATTAATGACAAAATAAGAGTTTAAAGCATTAAGGAAACTTCCCTAGCTTTAGACACACGTTTTTCACACACGTGCTGAAAAACCGAAATTAGAATCCTCTCGGATTCTAACAATAACAAAGCGAATCGCGAAAGCTAAATTGCTATGAAAATTCAAGAAATAGGAATATCAAGTCGATTATCAAAATTACACAATCGACTTATAATTGATATTCAATCTGGAAATGAAGATGATTGTGACGACGTCAAATTGAACTTATAATCCTCCGTTGGGCAATTTCCGGCAAGCAACAGTTGTAGATCGCTATTAGTGCCACTATGCGAGAGAACAATTTTTTTTCTTCTTCCAAAGAACGAGAACCAAGTAAAAAAAATAGAAGATAAAGGGCAAATCAGTCATAAACGGAACTTTGAATAAGTGAACTTAAATAACTGAACTATAAATAAGTTGTCTTAATTCTTAAATATTATAATTTTGTGGGCTAAATATATATATAAAGGAAAAAAAATTAAAAGTGAGGGGAGCTCTAGTCCACCCTAACTCTTAGGTGGACTCGCCCCTGACAACAAGTGCACATGATAGTGATGTCTTTGGTCGGCTTTTGAGATCCTACACCGGGTGAAATACACCGGGTAGATCTTTACCATTAATATACACACAAACACACACACACCCACATTGGTGTGTGTAGATCAACGGTGAAAAATCACCCGGTGTAACCTTCACCGGGTGTAGGATAGATAAAACCGTCTTTGGTCCAGTAGAAATATTTTTAGTTCAACAATTAACTGATTAACTATATATAGATCTAGTTCTACACATGGTTTCCATCTATTTAATTATCATTTGTATAATAGATAGCATTAATTGGTTGAAAGATGATATAATAAGAAAAAATGAAGATATTTATTAATTCATTTTCATCCCTTTGTAGAATTAATAAATTATTTGTCATTTGGGAGTATTTTTTATCCCAAATTATTTATCACTTTAGAATTTCAAGAAATCATTAATTGAAATTTTCCTCAATTTTACCCCATACTTGAAAATTAATTAATGACAACTGTATAATTTTAATATTTATTATATTGTTTTCATGTAATTTATTAATATTTATCGAGTTTCTTAATATATATGCAACAACAAAAAACGACATATAATATGGAACGGAAGTAGTAACTAATACAACTCAATTTGCTTTGCAATTTTACAACCAATAAATAAAATATTAACCAATTATGATAAGACATTCATGACAATTATTGCATTCAACACCCTTGTTTTATTAGCAAAATTCCCCTTATGATTCAATATATCTTTTTTATAGCAAATTGCCCCCCTAAAAACTCACTACTTAGGGGATGTGTGCTGAAAAATATGCAATGTAAGGGGTGTTTTTTGCTAATGTTAATAACACAGAGAGTTTTTCACAAATTTGATATAGCATAAGGTACTAAATTGCAATACATGTACACATGCACACTCTCTAATTATGGCTGCAAAAATTAAAAAAAAAAAAAAAAAAAAGACTTATATGATATCAATTGTGGAGAGGATTCGGCCCACCCGGAGTCTTGTGATGCGACACCGTGAAACGATTCGATTCGTTTTCCTCTTCGTTTCTCGATTCGTGATTCAGAGATGGTAAAGGAAAATACCATATCGAATTATTAAATCGTGAGGGTTCTTTTTCTTGTTCTTGTTCTTGATCTTGATCTAACTGCAGGATTTGGCGGCAAATGGAGAGGTGGCTGCACAGAGCGATGAGCATTATTATCAGCACAAGGGCATTTCTGGGATAATGAAAGTTTCTCATGTATGTATGTATGTATCTATGTATGTATAATAAAATATCTATGGAAAAAAAAAAAGAATTGCAGGTATTTTATGAGTTGAAGATGATGAATGAAATGAGAGGTTTGATTCAATTTGAGAGTTATTATTATTATTTTCACAAATCAGAAATGCTGGCACTGTCAGAGGTGGGAAGGTGTATTAATATATATGGCAACCATAAATCAACTTGGTGCAGCATATCATATCTAATGACCAACATGCCCTCGGTTTTCTTTTTTTTTTTTTGTGTTTTCGTTTTACGGTAAATTACGGTCAACGCTGAGATACAGTCTAATATGAAAAAAAAACCCTTCTATTTGGGTAATTACAGACACCCCTCTCAACTATGAATCTTCTTACATGTTCACATTTATGGTGTCAAACTCAATATAATCTTCTAGATTCCGTGTAATGTTCTCTTATTTATTTTGTGCAAAAATGCAGTTTCTGATGCACTGCAATTTGATATTTATAATCCAAAGAGACACATCTTATGATCATCTTGTTTTAAAATGTGGAGCTCGAATGGGTAAAACGGGTACAAACTGGAAAATATTCTATATATTGTAGAAAATTCCACTAAATTTGACACCGAAAAGGTGAACGTGTAAGAAGATTCATAGTTGATAGGTGATTGTAATTACCCAAATATGAAGGGTTTTTTCGTAATTTGACCTACCTCAGAGGGTGGCCGTAATTTATCCAAAATTATTATAATCTTTCGGACTAGTGAGGAAATATGGAGTCTCTTTTTTTTTTGATAGGTATAAAGTAATTTTGATTTTGATAAAAAAAAATTGGTAGATATAATTTTAGATATCACAATTCAGAATTTTCTTAAATATTATTTGGAAATTAAAATCAGAAGAAAAACCGGGATATCCCGACATTCATATATTAATCCGATGAATAAAAAAAATAAAAAAATCGAAGAAGAAAAAATGGAAAATCAAAATGAAAAGGTTATTCCCAAAAAGAAAATTAAATGAATTAAATTAAATTCGATGAATTTAAAAATTCCCTCATCTCCACCCTTAGCACAATCTCCACTGCTCATGTGAATTGAGTAACCATTTTGAAACAATGAAATATATAATTTTCTCTAATTTTACTTTGCAGCAAAATTCTATTAATTTAGTGAAATATTAAATTATCGAACTAATAATTTAGTATGTATTTACGAAATTGGGGTCGGAATAAATTATTATTTACAAGAATTTATTAATTTATCAAAGTTGTACTTTATTATAATATTCACGAAAGTCTCGTTGTCTTGACAGGGGGCATGAGTGACAATGGTAGAGGTATTGGTAGTAATAATTAAATATAGTTATGGGCATTGAATGTAATAATTTATTGTGCAGCAAGGTGTCTTCACATTAAATTTGATTGTTCGATTTCAACCATTATACTTTGTAAGAAAATGTTGGTCATAAAATTTTATTGGTGACCACATTGGTTCTTAATCTAAATTTATTCTTCTTTATTTATCACTTTCAAATTTTATTCAAATTATTAATATCCAAATATATCTAAGTTATGATTTTGTTATACAACTAATTTTCACATGATTTAGGATATTTTCTTTGAGGAGCTTCTTACATAATTTAAGATATTTTCGGAGACATGTAAGATTTTTGTTTTAGAAAGAGAAGAATATTACTAGGCATAAGAAACTTTCGAACTGCCTACCCTCGACATTCTCCCTTCCAATTCCGTGCAATCGTTGAAACTACATGATAGTTCTCCCCATAGGGTAATGGCGCATAGAAATTTACTTTGATTGAACTCTCTGGTGGAGGTTTCCATTTAACCGGAAAAGGATTCCTCGTATATGGTTGTTTCTCGCGGGCAAGCTTATTGGAATTCATTGAGATGGGTATTGATCCAGCTGATTAGATCTTCGCCCCGTAGCCCAACGTCGTCGTGCAACATATTGTTTCGGGATTCCCAAGTCTTTTACACAATCGTCATAGCCAGCAAAAATTGGGGAATGGTCGGAACCAGTGTATAGCAAGTGATGGACACGAGCACTTGGAAATAGTCCGGACCACCCTCCATTAGCGCAAACTCGGTCGAGACGGCACCGCATAGTAAACGGGTAATCCCTCTTATTTAGCCACGTGAATGGATAACATTCAAAACCAATATCCGAGAGATGGCACTCGTCAAGAAGTTGGACTACTAACATAAAATTCAAATGCGTACTCATAGAATTCAATGTCTTATAATCAAGAAGTTGAGAAGGGCCCACACCTGCTAAGAGTTGCTTCGGAAAAGAAAATCTCTGAATTGTTCCCTAAATCGAAATTTTTTGAAACAAAATCGGTTGAATCCGAAAGTTCGTCATGGTCGAGTGTAAATGTAGTTAGGAACTTGATAACTATTTAATTGAGAGAGAGAGAGAGAGAGAGAGAGAGAGAGAGAGAGAGAGAGAGAGAGAGAGAGAGAGAGAGAGAGAGAGAGAGAGAGAGAGAGAGAGAGAGAGAGAGAGAGAGAGAGAGAGCTACTGTCGAATTGAGGAGAAAACGAATTCTTATCAGCAATAAAATTGCCGTTAGCCTATACGGTTTACGCTGCTTCCGATGAGATTAAGGAGCATCGCAAACATAAGGATTGATAATTTTTCACTAATACAACTATAGAGAGGCGTTATCCAAAAGAATTATACGTTTAAAGACGACGTATTATGAACTAGCAATTAATAGAACGAATACGAATTAAGCAAATCTTTGCTAACTGGAGCAGTAACAAATGTTCGACAAAACTTTTTATCGTTATATCCAAGGATTACATCGATTCTTGCCACAAAAAGAACAACGTACGTAAGATCGACAGAACTAAAAGAAATCCCTGAACTAGATCGAGAAAACACTAATAAGCTGGTTTCGACTTTCGAGTATATCCAAAACCGTAAATCAACAAAACTAAAAAGCTGCTAGCTGCACAAGATTGACGTACGAATAATCCCGAACCGTAATTCCCTGTTAAACGAAAAAGCAATCAAGAAAACCAAACACTACCAAAAGAGATCGATTATCAAGAAACCTCGAAAATATATCCAATGAAATCATCTGATCTTTCCGACAATGTCGGAGACGAGCTCGTCGGCATCGAGTGCGTTGAGTGCATTCTTCATATCATTCAGGCTCAGATAAACCTCTCCGTCTTCGTCGCGAATCTCGAAGAAACCCTTCCTTGGCGGATCGGGGTTGACCACTACGCTGACTCCAGGAATCTCTTTCTCCAGCCCTTTCTTCACTTGTTTAGCCTTTGTCTTGGATGATTTCGACTCCTTGCAGTGCTCGATTATCACGGTTTTGGCTCCGGCGGAAGAGGAGGCGGCGCCGCCGCCGGTGGTGGGGGTTTTGGCCATCTTTTTCTTGCCCTTTTCAGAGTTCCCGGCGGCAGAAGGGGAGGCGGAAGTGGTGGTTTTGGCCTTCTTTTTCTTGCGTTGATCTGAGTTTCCGACGGAGGCGGAGGCGGCTTCCGGCGCCTTTCTCTTCCGCGGTTGCGGGTTGTCAACTTTTTCGCTGAGCTCAGCGGCGCCTGATTTGGTGGCGCTCCGGGTAACCCTGACGGCGGCGGGGGCCGCTTCAGCCTTCTTTTTTGGTGCCATTTTGAGGACGAAATGATAAAATTCAATAATTGTGAGGACGAAATGATAAAATTCAGTAATCTTGTTTGATTAGCAGCTTTATATATCAGGGATTCTGCCGTGTGCCATTTTCTTGTTACAGGTTCAGTTTTTTCAACTGATTAATTATCTAAATAAAGAGGTTTTTTTTAGCTGATTAGTAGTTTTCCCGCGCTTTTGGACGGCTGGGATTAGGTGTGATGATGGCTTGTTGTTAACTGCTTAATTGCTACTTTTGGGGTTCAACTCTTTTGCAATTTGTAATTATATTATATATTGAAGGCTTTATTAAAAAATAAATTTATAAATGAGTTATTTTATTTTTAAAAAATTTAGTTTATATATTCTTAAAATAAATATGTTTTGCCAAAAACCTTTTTTTTTTTGGAAATATTCTTAAAAATAAAAACAAGAAAAAAAAGTAGCTAAGTATGGATATATATATATATATATGTAATAAGGACAAATTTATTTAGTTTAAAGTTTGAACTAAAGTTTCATTGCCCTAATTTTTTATTTGTGAAGAAAACAAAATTATTTGATATTGTGACTATTCTACCCTTGAATTAAAGTTCCATTGCCCTAATTCATATAATTGAAGCAAGATCAATTTTTTTTTTTGAACCAAATGGATGAATTTTGATTAACTTAATAGTTATGCTACATATCAGATAATTTATGCGATTTGACCTTGTTTAGGTTTCGAAAAATATGTTTTTTCTTATAGTAATTTTTTAAATTGTAATTACTTTTAGTGGAATTGAATTTGAATTCTCCAAATTGAATGATTTAAAATTCTATTAGGATTATATTTAAGTATGTCTTTTCATTTATGATAATTTTCGCATTTTTTCTAATTTATTTCAATATTAATAAGATTTTAAATTTGGGGTCATGGCAAATAGGCCCATGGGCACTTAATTAAAAGAGGGACATCCAATTTTTTTTGTGTTTCAAATAAATTCACTCCATTCAAACTTATTTGCAAATAAGGAAAATCCTTTTATATATACCAAAATTATCCCCAATTCATTGAAACTCAATTCAACTCCAATTTCATGATTTACACCCCAATTTAGCCCAATTTCATCAATTAACCAATTTTAACCCTAATTTCAATTTTGACCCCAATTTTAACCCTAATTCTTATCAATTTCACCCATTATGCTCTAACTTCCTTAATATTACCCATTGACCCCGGATTTAAACAAATATATCACATTAACCCTCAATTTTTTTTTTTTCATAAAATATTTTTTTTTCTCAAATGTTTTTTTTTCCGGCCAGATTCCGGCGTTGACCACCGGAGACCGCCGGTCTCCTGGCGGTCTCCGGCGTTGACTTTTTTTTTTTTTTTTTTTTGTAATTTGTTTTAATTAATATTACTGTCTTGGCTGCTAAATTACTGTCTCCAGCAGTTATTTAACTGCCGGAGATAGTAATTTAGCTGTTAATTGACTTTTTTTTTTCTTCAAAAATATTTTAATTAATATTACTGTATTCGTTGCTAAATTATTGTCTCCTGCAGTTATTTAACTGTTGGAGACAGTAATTTAACTATTAATTGACTTTTTTATTCTTACAAAAAATATTTTTAATTAATATTACTGTATTCGTTTGCTAAATTATTGTCTCCAGCAGTTATTTAACTGTCGGAGACAGTAATTTAACTGTTAATTGACTTTTTTTTTTTCTTAAAAAAAATATTTTAATTAATAGTACTGTCTTAGATGCTAAATTACTGTCTTCAACAGTAGTTTAACTGTCTTAGACAATAATATTAATAATATTACTGTTCGGAAAAATAATATTCATAATATTATTGTTCGGAAAAATAATATTCATAATATCACTGTCCCAGACAATAATATTACTGTCTGAGACAGTAATTTAGTAGCTAAAACAGTAATATTAATTAATTTATTTTTTTTCTTCTAAGAAAAAATAATTCAAAAATTCAAAAAAAAAAAAAAGTCAACGCCGGAATCTGGCCGAAAAAAAATATTTCAGAAAAAAAATTATTTTCTGAAAAAAAAAAGTTTTGGGGGTTAATGTGATATATTTGTTAAAATCCGGGGTCAATGTGTAATATTAAGGAAGTTAGAGCATAATGGGTGGAATTGATAAGAATTATATTATTGAGGGTATTTTAGACTAAAGACATGGGAATGGGCTTAATTGAGAGACTGTTTTTTTTGTGGACCAAAATGCATTTAAGTCCCATGTGATGGGCCTTTTTGCCATTCGCCCTTTAAATTTTGTTTATATTAGGTTTTAAGTTCTCTCTCTCTCTCTCTCTTCATTGACCAAATAATATATCAATTTATAAAAAAAGGTTAAATTACACCCACACCCCTAAGGTATGCTTAAATAGTTTTAAGGTCCCTATGATATCGATAATTACACTCACCCCCTAAAAAGTAGTTAGAAACTCTAACGGGATAATGCATTGGATATATTTCCGATAGGGTTCTAATGGACTGTTACTTTTAGCTAGTCGTGGAGATAAAATAGAGTTATGGGGTGACATGACTCTCCCAATATTTCTTAAATCACCCATAACTCTTTGTTGTATCCACCAATTCTTGAAACCAAGAGTCCGTTAGAACTCTATCGTAATAATGTATCCAATGCATTATCCCATTAGAGTTTATAACTATGTTTCCAGGGGTGAGTGTAATTATCGATACCACAGGGACCTTAAAGTTATTTAAGCATACCTCAGGGGTGTGGGTGTAATTTACCCTAAAAAATGATATAAAACTTATGACAATCAATAGTGAATTTCTAAAATTAAATATTTTAAAAAAATATGGTAATAAACTTTGGAAAATTTATAGTCAACTTATGAAAACTGAGAGTGATCTTACGAAAATCAAAATATTTCAAGTCCTTATAGATAAAATTACATACGAAGAATTGTTTGCTTATAAGTTTTTTTTTTTTTTTTGTGAGTAAGTTTGCTTATAAGTTATAACCTGATAAATAAGATTTTAATTTATTTATTTAGATTATAAATTAAGTTCTTTCACTCTTTTTTTTTTTCATCGACCAAATAATATGGCAATGAAATTATGAAAATGATTATAAAAATATGATATAAAACTTTATGAAAATCATCAATAGTGAATTTCTAAAAATTGAATTTGAAAAAAAAAAGGTAATAAACTTTGGTAAATTGACAGTGATCTTACGAAAATCAAACATTTCATATCCTCATAAATAAAATTACACACGAAGAACTGTTTGCTTATAAGTTATAAAATGATAAATTAAATAAGATAGGTTTTTATTATAAGTGCATTAACACTTGGATCTTTAGCCGACGAACTCCGTAACACGAAAAATTAAGACAAGATCGAGCATATTGGGTAAATTTCTATATTAATTATGCCCAAAAAGGTAAATTTTCAAATTTAAACACATTTTTCTTCGAATTAAGTAAGTATACTCAAACGAATTTCCTTTGTAACTTTTTTTTTTCAAATTATCCAATCAGAAGTATTATCATGCATATAAAAAATTGAATTGATACAGTAAAGAATCTACAATAATTAAATGAAATAATTATATCTATCCATGATATATGTATTTCAATTATCCGGTATAAATACTAGTTAACTGCATCATTTTTCTCCACTCGACTTCAAAAAATAATCTACTTCCATATTTTTTAATTTATTTTTTAAACTATATTTTTTCTAATAAATAGATGGCCGTATTCGCGCAATTCTTGAGCATTCTCCTACTCCTCGCGTCCGCGTCAGCCGTCAGGTATAAATAAATACAATATTCAATTTGTTTTTTTTTTCCCCTTTTGAATTAACAGTAGTTTGTATTTTTTTTATTTTTTTAATTTTCTTGAATATATTATTATTAATAATATTTTTTATTTTGTTTAGGTATTGCGGTGAATAATAATATTGAAGGGCAGCCACAACAAAAATATAGGTGCAGTAGTATATTGGGAATATGTGGGAAAACACTAAGTGAAGATCAATGCGTAACATTATGCTTAAGCTGGTACAGCGGTACTAGTCCACACGCTTATTGCGCTGCACCCTACGACGAAATTTATTGTTATTGTAGACATGATTGCCTAAATGCCTAACTATTTTCTAATTTTATTATTTATTAATTGCTCCTTTTTTTTCTTTAACATATATATATGGTTTATTTTAAGTTATAATACATGCTATATATATGTTTCATATTAATTGAGGCGTTCGATGCGAATTCCATCAATTTCAAATATTTAAATTAAGGGTTAATATGCTAAGAGTCCCTTAAATGAAACTTAATTTGAACTAAATGACAACCTTAAATTCATTCTTTTAATTAAATCCCTATTTTGAAATAATACATGACCCACATCCCTAATTTTTATTTTATCCTCAGTTTGCCCTTATACCCTAAATATAATATCCCACGTTTATTCAACTAATCATTTTTTTTAGTTTTCTCTCTCGCATTTCGCCGCTCCCTCTCCCTCTCGCTCTCGCCTCTTTCTCTCAGATTTTTTTTTGTTTTCGCCTCTCACCTCTCGCCTCTTCTTCTCCCTCTCCCTCTCGCCTCTTTATCTTTCGGCAAGGCGTTGTGGTGGTCGAGGCGACGGCCAGGGGCTGCGGTGGTCGGCGGTGGTCGGCGGTGTTGGGGGCTGCGGTGGTCGGCAGTGTTGGGGCTGTGGTGGTCGGCGGTGTTGGGGGGTTGTGGTGGTCGGCGGTGTTGGGGGCTTCGGTGGTCGGCGATGTTGGGGGGCTGTGGTGGTCGGTGGTGTTGGGGGATGTGGTGGTCGGCAGTGTTGCGGGTTGCGGTGGTCGGCGATGTTGGGGGCTGTGGTGGTCGGTGGTGTTGGGGCTGCGGTGGTCGGCGGTGTTGGCTTTTAGGGTTTGACGGCTGCTGTGTTTACGAAGGGTTGGCGAGATTGGGTGTTGTTGGCTGCTAGGGTTTGATAGTACACCGTAGTAGACTATAGTACACTGTAATATACTATAGTTTACATGGTATACTACAATAGTCTACATGGTATACTACAATATTGACAACAAATAAATTTAAAAAAAATATATATATGTAGCTTGAATTAACAAAAACGAAAATTAATTTTTTTTTCGTAATTTTCAATATCATGTAAGATTTGTTTTTTAATAATAGTGTAAAAATTATAGTACACCATAGTATACCATAGTGCACCATAGTATTTTTAAAATTTGCTGAATTATTTAACAATTTTGTTTCCCGTAATTTTCAATAAGCACCATAGTATTTATAAAATTTGCTGAATTATTTAACAATTTTGTTTCCCGTAATTTTCAATAAAATATAAAAAACAAGGAAAAAAAACTGTTTATAATAATATAGAAAATGTTAGAGTGAAAATTGAAAAAATAAATATGAGTGAAAGGGCATTTTCGGAATAAATTTTATAAAGGATGTGAAGCAAATGTTTAGTTGAGCTTGTCATTTAGTTCTAATTAGGTTTATCACTAGGGACCTATATCTTAAGACCCCTTAAATTAAAGGTAAATTACAACCACCCATGAGTTACAAATTACGAAAAACTTCTGTGACTGGGTAATTACAATTGTCCATCAACTATGAATATAATCTTCTTACACGCTCATCCTTATGGTGTTAAATTTAATATAATCTTATAGACTCCGTGGAATGTTCTAAAATTTGTACACGTTTTGTGCAAAAAATGCAGTTTCTGATGCACCACAATCTGATATATACAAGCCAAAAACACATTTTATGACATCTTGCTTCAAACTGTGGAGCTCGAATGTGATAAAACGAGTACTAACTTAAGAATATTCTATATAATTTAGAAGATTCCACTAAATTTAACACCGCAATGATGAACATGTAAGAAGATCCATAGTTGAAGGGATTGTTGTAACCCAAATTATACCTTACTTCATGGGGTGGCCATAATTTACCCTTTAATTTAATGCTTATGTAGGACCTTCGAATTAACATTATTGAAGATTAATAAATTTTGTATAACAATTAAAAGGGTAAATTACAACCACTCCGAGGTATGACTAAATTACGAAAAACTCCCTCTTGTTTGGATAATTATATCTACCTCTCAACTTTAAAATTTCTTACACCTCCACCCTTATGGTGTCAAATTCAATATAATCATCGGTATTCATTGGAATGTTCTCTGGTTTGTACTCATTTTGTGCAAAAATACAGTTTCTGATGCACCACAATCTGATATATATATATATATATATATATATATATATATATATATATATATATATATATATATATATATATGCCAAAAAACACATCTTATGATCATCTTGCTTCAAAATGTGGAGCTCGAATGAGATAAACGGGTACAAAATTGAGAATATTCTATATAATCTGAGTTGTTCCTTTAAATTTGAAACCGTACAGTTGACGTGTAAGAATATTTATAGCTGATGAGGTAATTGTAATTACCCAAATAAAAGGATAGTTTCGTAATTTGACCATACCTAGGGGTCATTGTAATTTACCCAAATTAAAATCACATCATATATTTCACCAATAATTTTTTGTAGAGAATCACATTATTGGAGGTCAACCAATTTATAATGACAGTTGTTTATTTTATTCCACAAAATTCAAATTTATGCATTTTTTTTTTGTTTGTTGTTTTTGCAAACAACAAAAAGTTTATTTACAAAACCCCTGAGGTAAGATTTATTTACGAACAAACTCCTAACATTTTCCATATGTACATCCACCCCCGTAATTTTTAGATTCTCATATTAACACCCTTTTGAAAGACGGTGTATGTTAGAAATTTATAACTTTTCACACTTTAAAGTTTTCCCACGCAGCATTCCGTCTTACACAGCATCCGACAAAGTAAATCATCGACTAAAATAAGACAAATAAACATCGTACAGTTCTCAGTTCGGAGCCGGTTCGGATGTCAATGGGTAGTTTCCGGACCGGAACCGGGCCCTTAATAACATTGTATGATAAGGTTGCGAATTCAGCTATAGTGAATTATGTTTTCCCATAATTTCCCATCTAAATATTTTGTTTTTTTCATTTAAATGACACTTAAGTTCTTGAAAAATAAATTAGAAGTAGAATTCAGAATGAATTGTTACCAAAATCAAAAAAATTCGAAACAAAATCGGCTGAATCCGAAATTTCATCCTGGTCGATAAATGTAGATTGAATAAATTTTAATATAGCAATGAAGACGAAGAAATTGTATATACGAGCATCTCAAACAATTAATATAAAACATAGACAGACAATATCCAAAAGAATTATACGTTTAAAGTCGACGTATTAACTAGCAATCAATCGAACGAAATACGAATAAATCAAATCAATAGTAGAGCTCGACAAAAAAACTAAAAGAAAAACTAAAATGAACTAGATCGAGAAAACCTCGTTATCGAGTATGATATCCTAAACCCTAATGAACGAAACTAAAAATTTCCCGGTTAAAACGAAAAAAGCAATCAAAGAAAAGCAAACAATGCACTAGAATTATTACCAATTAATACAACCGAATCGTTTGATATAATCGACAATGTCGGAGACGAGGATGTCGGCATCGAGTGCGTTGAGTACACGATTCATATCCATCAGGGTGAAAAGAGCCTCTCCGCCTTCATTGCGAATTTCGAAGAAACCCTTCCTAGGGGTTTCGGGGTTGAACACTACGTAGACTCCAGGAATTGCTTTCTCCAGCAATTTCTTCACTCGTTTAGCCTTTTTCTTGTATGGTTTTGACTCCTTGCAGTACTCGATCACCACCAGAGTCCTGTATCCGTCAGAACATGCGGCGGCGGCGGAGGCGGCGGCGGTGGTGGCGGTGGTTTTGGCCTTCTTTTTCTTCCCCTTTTCGGAGTTAGCGGCGGCAGAAGAGGTGGGGGTGGGTGTCTTTCTCTTGGGTCGATCCTGTTTCCCGGCGGCGGATGTGATGCCGGAAGAGGTGGGTGTCATATCTTCGGGAGCCATGAAGCTACGTGGACCTAGGGTTCCACCGGTGCAGACCGAGGTGATGGGTGGAGGGGCGAATTAGGGGCTGAAGAAGAAGAAGAGGAGGAATGAACCCTAGGGAAATTTATTTAAGGGAAATTGATTGGGAAAATTACATTTTATGTCCCTAAATTTTACTACTAAAACAATTTGTGTCCTCAAATATTTTAATCAACAAAATACGTCCTCGAACTTGCAACATTTGATCAAATTTATGTTCTGTCATTACGTCGTCGGCCAACTTCAACAGAAATTGCACATATGGCTCACGAGACATCTATCTGGCCGTTAAACGTGGTGTGGAATAACATATGGCATTGAAATGTTGACATAAACGAATGTACTAATTTCCCTTCACATTTCTACCTCACTTTTCCCAAATCACACTTCATGCTTTATCCCATAAACCCTAGTCATTCAATTTCAAAATATCTTTCAATCTCATCAACCCACTCTCAAATTTCCAATCCAATCTGCATTCTTGGTCGAATCTATGTGAAACTCGAAGTCATAAACCCATAAAAAAATCCAGACATTCTAACATTGCAAGAGTTCTTCCCTTATGAGAGGCCGAGTTGTTGTAGGTGAAATCAAAACTACCACAGACCTCCCAAAATCCCAAAATCGAAGTTGAAAGATATTAACTTTGAAAAAACTTACCCAAAATCAGAAATTGTTGCTTGATTATGATATCACTAGTCCACAAATGTTCGAAACCCTGCGAAATTAGGGTGGGGCAATCTTACTGTTGCAGAATTTCACCTTAATTTTGAGCTTCGTATAGGTAATTTGGGGGTAGGGTTTCTGCGTTTTGGTTCAATAAATTTGGGCGTAATGAAATGTGAGTGTTGGTGAGATTCAAATAGAGGAAGAGAGTTACGTGTCACTCCACGTCTTATTATTTCGCCAGATCGACGTAAGTAGTTATTCCACATCACATTTAACGGCCAGATAGACGTCACGTGAGCCACACGTGCTATTTCCGTCGAAGTTGGCAGACGACGTTAACGACAGAACATAAATTTATCGAAAGTGACAAGTTCGAGGACATATTTCACGGATTGAAATATTTGAAGACATAAATCGTTTTAGTGGTAAAGTTTAGGGACATAAAATGTAATTTTCCCGAAATTGATTCAAGGGAAGTTAAGACGAGACACCGTTTCTGCAAAAGATGGAGCCGATTTGGACTCTTCTGAAGTGGGGCCCCACGCTCATTTTAATAATTGTTTTCGAATTATTTCAATTATTGTTATTACTATTGGTGGATTAGGGTAGAATATTCTCTGATAGGGGTGAACAAGTCGGACTCTTCAACCCGTTGAACTCATCAAATCGGTAAAAATTGTCCCGTTAGAACCGGACAGATGGATCCATCAGTAGGGTTGGGTCCTTAAATGGAGAAGATCTGTGGGTTTGGGTCTAAGATGGATTTAAATATTTTTAATACCCGTGAAACCCGTCCCGTCCCACCATACAAAATGACGTCGTTTTCTTTATATTATTTAGTATAATAAATTAAAAATATATAATACATGAATAAAATATCTATTACCTATCAAAACTTATACCTACAACGACGACATCGTCTTGTTTTATATATAGTTTCCCATTTTATTTTCAATCTTGTTTATAAAGCTTTGGATTTAGCTACTCTTTTTTAATGGATTTATGATTAAAACGTATTATTTGGATTTACTCGTGATATTTTTCATTGATCTTATTCACGTTTGTTTAAATTTAAGATTTTAAACATGGTTATTTCATTTCAATTTCTAAATAGTTTTGCGTAAAACTTATAAATTATTAAAAATATAACTTATTTAAATTATGACGAGTTTTGACTCATGAAGGTCGGGTCCTACTATAAATCCGACATGAACCCGTCTATCTTAAAGCCATCGAAGACCCATAAGTTTATTTCTTTAAAATCAAGAACCGTTAGTTGATGGGACGAGGGTGGGTTATGCTAGAACCCGCAGGTTTATGACCCGCGCACAACCCTATTCCCTAATGATAGAAACGGGTATTTTTTTTTATAATTAAATTTCATTCATACGGAAAGGAGAAAGTACAACGGTCAACGATGCAAAAATAATTAATGGGTAAATATTAAGAGGAATAAAACCGGTCCAAGAAGTAGAAAAAGCCCATTCTCTCTTCTTCCAGCTTTCTTTATGATCAAAGTCTTTCTATTCTCTATCCTTCTAATTCCTTCTTTTCTATTATCTCTATTCTCTTGGTTACAGATATACAAATATCATAAATCAATATTATAGAAACTGTTGAGATCTGACAGTGAGGGTGGCCGTCTTTCTGTCGATCCTGTTTCCGACAATTTCGTCCAACATGATGGTTGAACCAAAAATGTTAAAAAATAGACGAGTTTGGGGATTACTTTCATGAGAGCGAAAATCATTCTAGTGGTAAACTATAGGGACGAAAACTTTTATTATCCTACTAATTTTATAATGTTGTCACTACTTTACTCTAGATTATATATCTTTTAATTCATGGGAACAAAACTTTTTCTGAAACAAATTGATGTAACTCGGAGAAATCAACTATGCGCACAACGGCGTCAAATTCCGACGAATCGTTGTCGTTTCAGACCCCAAAATGGGTTTTTTTTTTCTTTCCATTTTCAACAGGGAAAAATCCTAAAAAAGTGTTTTTGATTTTTTGAGTTATTTGCATATAGTACCCCTGTAAAATCTCGAACGGCTCAAAAACCTAATCATCTTCTCCACCATGCACCCGCATCTTCTCCACTTCCAATCCGACCTTCTCCGCCGCCTTCACGACCTCGTACCGCTCAACCACCTTCCCAAACACCACGTGTTTTAGTTATTTTTTGTAACACAGGGGATTTTTTAGCCGTTCGAGATTTCACAGGGGTACTATTTGCAAATAAGTCTATTTTTTTTCTCATTTTAGTGAAAAATCAATTTTACTTTTGATTCTGGAAATTTAGGAAACCTCGGTTTTTTTTAATACATAAAATATAAAGTAAACAAAAAAGGAGAGTATAAAAATCATGTCTCTATCATGAAATCTTAATAAATTTATATAAAAAAAATATTTATATTTTTTCACATTAAATATATTCAAAGTATATAGTAATTTTTGAAATTGTAATAACTTTTAGTAGCGAAATCGAATTTCAATTCTGCAAATTGAATTGTTCTTATGATTTAAAATTCTATATGGATTATATTCAAGTATATTTTCTCATTTATGATAATTTTCATATTTTTCTAGTTTATTTCAGTTTTAATAAGATTTTAACATTTTTATTAAGATTAGGCTCTAAGTTCTCTCTTTTTTTCTATTGACCAAATCATATGGCAATGAAATTCTGAAAATTATTATAAAAATATGATATAAAATAAAACTTATGAAAATCGATAATGAATTTCTGTAATTTGAATATTTTAACAAAATATGGTAATAAACTCTGCAAAATTGATAATCAATTTATGAAAATCAAAACATTTCATGTCGTTATAGATAAAATTACATACGAATAACTGTTTGCTTATAACCATTCGGTGCATTTACACTTGGATCTTTAGCACACGAATATTGAATGCAGTATCTCGAACACGAGATATTAAGACAAGATCGATCGAGCGTGTTAGGTAAATTTGGATATTGATTATGCCCAAAAAGTTGATTTTTCAAATTTAAACTCACATTAATTTTTTTCCCGAAGGAATTAAGTATACTTAAACAAATTTCCTTTACAACTAATTGTTTTTCTTTTCTTCAAATTATCCTATCAGAAACATTATCATGTATTGAATTGAAACTTATGATAAAATCACAGCCATGGGATATTTCCAGCAAAGAATCTACCAAAATTAAATGAAATTGTGTCAATTATCTAGTATAAATATTAGTTAATTGTCCCATTTTTTTTTCACTCAACTTTGAAATTAAAATCTACTTCCACAATTTATTTTAATAAATAGATGGCCCTATTCTCCCAATTCTTGTGCATTCTCCTACTCCTCGCATCTGCATCAGGTATATATAATTATATATTATAAAATATTCAATTTTTTTTTTTTAAATTTATAGAATTCATCTATGATTTTTTTTATTTCTCATGTGTATTATTAAATTTTTTATATATAAATAGGTACGGCGGTGAATAAAATCGAACGGCCAGCACCAAAATATAGGTGCAATAGTATATTGGGAATATGCGGGAAAACACTTACCGAAGAGCAATGCGTAACATTATGCTTAAGCTGGTACAGCGGTACTAATCCAGACCCTTATTGCGCGACACCCTACGACGAAGTTTATTGTTATTGTAGACATGATTGCCTAAAGGCCTAAGTCTAACTATTTTGTAATTAGGGTTCTTTCAGAAAAACCCGATATTACTTCTTTTAATGGGAAGAAATTCAAAATATTTTGTTCCATTTGTGAAAAGACTCAATGTTTTAATTAAAACCGGACCGGACATTGAACCGGACAAGCAATTGGGTCGCGGTTGGACCGGTTCAGCCGGGGTCCGACCAAGTTTTTGCATAATATCTATTATACAAAAACATAGAAAAATTAAATATTCTCCACCAATATTCAAACATTGAATTAAAATTATAGTTCATTTATCATGTATACCTTTATAGATAGTAATTTATTATGTATTAATAAACGTTAAAAGTAAAAATAACAAATAAAACAAGAAATTACAATAAGATTTCTATTTAAATTACGAAAGATACCATCAAGACCTAATAATAATTTGTGAAAACTACTTCATTCCTCTTACTATCTACCCCAGTCAACCATATTCTTCTTTATCCCTGTCTATTTTTTTTCTCTCTTCTTTCTTTCTCAATTTCTCCCCACCACGATCTCTATTACTGTGCACTAATATTTTATGGAACCTCCTTCAACAAACCGAACATCCAAGATCAAGAGAAGTGTACAAATTTTCAGTTTTTTTCTTTCTCACTCTCTCTCTCTCTCTCTTTTATTTTTTTTTTTTTTTTTTTGCACAGACCCGGTTTTTTGGGCCGGTTTTATCCGGTTCAACCGTAATTTCCACGGTTCACGAACAATTGACTCGGGAATTATGGATTTCCAGTTATTGAAGTTCAACCAGACCGGACTAGCCACTGGTTTGCGGTTGAACCGGTTGGACCGGCCGGTCCGATCCAGTTTTCAAAACATTGAGAAAAGTTTACAACCATTTTTAGTTATTATTTTTTTCCAATTTTGCCACATCATCATTTCATCATCCTTTTTTTTTCTTTTTCTTTTTTCGTTTTTTGTAAAAAAAAAATTATGTATCAGTTTTATTAATCGACTATAAATTATAGTCGATTAAGGAAAGTCGACTATGAAACATAATCGATTAAGGAAATTCTTAAAAAAAAATTGTTTTTTAGTTTTTTTTTTCTCTATCAGATATATTAATCGCCTATGAAGTATAATCGATTAAGACTCTGCTACTAAAAATAACAAATCACAATTGCAAAAAAATGCAAAATCAACTATATTTTACAAAAATAAAAATATACAAACATTATAATTGATTTATACAATTGGAATCCATAAATTAAAAAATCCAAAAAAATAAACATTTGAGTCAATTAACCTTAATCGACTACCAGAGTATAGTCGATTAACTTAATCGACTATTGAACACGTACGTAGTCGATTAAGGTTCCAGTCCGCAGAAATTTCTCTGCGCGCCGTTCTCTGCCCGATCTACCAAAAACCTTAGATTTGCCTCCCCATCATCAACCACTCCTTTACAAGAATTAAACTAAAAATCCGAAAAAAAAAAAAAAATTACATGTGACTATATTTGGGAAATCCAAAGGCAACAATCCCAATTCCCAACACCAACAAGATTGAACCAAAGTCAGTGAAAAATAATTTACAGCAAACGTCCGACGAACAAATCGAGAGCATGAAAAATATCTCAAAAAATAAATAATAACAAACAGAGGATTTGTGAACCAGAGGATTTATCATAATTAGTATAATTATAAATAATATTAAGTATGATTAAAATAATTTTTTTAGTTAATTTTTTTTATTATTAAAAAAATAAAAAAGTAGTATAATTATAATAATATTAAGTATATTAAAAAATAATTTGTTTCGTTAATTTCTTATTTTATTATTAAAAATTATAAGTAGTCTATTTCAAATTTATAATTATTTTCAGCCCCAAAGGATTTTAAAATTTCAATTTTCACCCCAAAATAGTGTTTTCCGTTACTTGCTAACGGATATGTAACGGTGGGGACCAAAAGTGTTTAAAATTGAAACTTGGAGGTGAACTTTGTTCACTTTGGAACAAGGAGGACCAAAAGTGAAATCGGGCCAAACATGAGGGACCAAAAGTGTAATTATCCCAAGGTTTACTCTAATTATATTTTAGAGGGTGTGTTTCCTTAACTTCATTTCCTAGGTGGGGGATCCTTTATATAAACTAAAATATATATATATATATATATATATATATATATATATATATATATATATATATATATATATATATATATATATATATATATATATGTTTCATTTTATTTACAAATTATAAAGACAATTGTTTGTTTATTTTATTCCATAAAATTCAATTATGCAATTTTTTGATTGTTGTTTTTGCAAACAACAAAAGTCTTGTGCTATTTAAAGTATGTAACAATATTGAACTTCAACGGTAATTTTTACAAGGGTAAATTACAACGATCCACTGAGGTAAGGTTTATTTAAGAACAAACCCCTAATTTTTCCATATGTACATCCACTTCCCTGTAATTTATAGATTTCTTACATTACCACCCTTTCATAGGGAGGTGAACGTAAGAAATTTACAAACTGCAGGGGCCGGATGTAATTTCTAACAAATAATGGTTTTTTATTGGTAGTTACAATGACCTCATGGAGGTGGTTGTAATTCACCCTTATTACAATTCATTCTAAAACATAATTGAAAACATCAAATTTTACAGTGACTAGATTCTTTGATTAAATTAACAATCAAATCAAACTCAAAGTAATAAAATCAAAATTTTGTACAACTCTCTAATCATTCTTAGCTTTACAACAACTCAATACAATTTCAAATCACCACCGTAAAAATACGTATATACGTATAACTTTTCACACTTTAGAGTTACCCCGCGCAGCATTCCGTCTTGCGCAGCATCCGACGAAGTAAACCATCGACTAAAATAGGACAAATAAACATCATAGTAAAATAATCAAGATGGAAGGTGTAATAAAATCATGCCTCGTTTGGTTACGGACTAAAGTATGATTACAAAATAAGAGTTCATTCTTTCCAAAATTATCGAACGGACCCGAAAAACTACCGGACTAACCAAATATTAAATAAAAATCGAATTATGTAATTAATGACGGCTTATTTTGTACGATTTTATGAAAATATATAGATGAATAATAAATAGTAAGGAATGTGGTTTTTTTTACCAGGACGACGAAGAGGATAACATTGAAGATAGCGACAACCCTCCACTCGATTTTCATGTACTGCGCAACTCCAGCCCTTGTAAGTGGTAATAAAAAATCGAACAAATAATAAATAACATGAATGTAATAATTTAATTGTTAGCATATTAAACAGTACTATTAAACAGTACTCACTTGCACGAATCGCAATTATAGCATTTGATAGACTTTGCGTTTTTGTAAAGTTTGCAATCTCTGTTGGAACTGATCGGGTGGAAACTCAGGTCGTAAAACGAGGCATTCACCGCAGGATAACCACAACTGAAAAATATATATTAGCAAAATAATAAAACAAAAGAAATTAAATAGGAAAAAAAAAAAAAAAAAAAAAAAGAAAAACCAGAAACCCTACTCGGATGGTGGTCGACAGCAGCCAGCTTCAATCGGGCTTAATTTTGCCAAATTAAATTTCTTGAGAGTCTGCAATAAACGAGGTCAAAAACATATATGAGGTTCGATAAAATAAGAGAAGAGGATACGAGCTTAATTGATGTAATATAATGTACGAACCCGGTATCTTCTTGAAAGGTTGTTGCAGTCGTCGGATTTGACAAGACAACTTTTGAGGTGGTCCCAATTATGGGAATCGTTCAGCTGAAAGTATAAATGATTTCATGGTACGATTTCTTGATTTCTTGATTTGGAATGTTGCACGAAAGTATAAATGATTGAATGCTTACGTGTTTCAGAAACCAGGAACTATAATCGTGAAGTTGATACTCTTTGTACCTAAAACAGCAGAAAAATACGTATAAATCATTTTATTTGATGCATTATTACACACGTACAACGTAATAATCATATATAAATCATTAAAAAAAAAAACACTAAGAGTTGTCGTACCTCAGACCGGTTACATTATGACCAGAGCCGTTATTTGTTACTATAAACCTACAAAAACAGACACCAGGAATGACAAGTGGCGTGAAATAAAAAAATACGGAGCCTCTATTTTAGTCAATATCTCGATCGATCACGTAGCTAACTTTTTAGCAGTTAGGGAAACGACAAGTATTCAAAAAAATAAATTAATAAATTAAAAAATGGAAGAGGTTTCTTTTATCGAATACAACCTCCGTATAAATCAAACAATTGTCATTCTTGAACTCCGATTATCAAATTTAGGGTAATTTCTTCCTAAATCTCGTTTTTTTTCACGAATAATACACAAAATAATAAGATTATTAAAACAAAAAAGTTACAAAAACTTGTAGTTCGAAAAATCCAAACGATTGTTAATCGATGATGCTACAAAACGGCAAGTTGCGTCAAAATATCAAAATTCAATGTCTTTAATTAGCTACTACATTATGCTCTCTTCCGTTTTTGCAATTTTTAAGGTTATAAATTTGAAACGACGCATCTGCAGTCGGACAAACCAGCAACAACAGTACATATACCACACTCATTAAACCAAACACGGTAAAATTTAAGGATAATATTACCTAAAAGGTCCAATAATCGTAAATCAAATGAAATAACAATTTTTTTTTTTTATTTTCACATTAATATACTTACGCCAACACCGTGAAGACCAAAATCGCTACCAATATTATGCAAAGCAGTGTCAGATACTGCAATTTACATGCTAAGGAAGAACCGAACAGAAGTACGACGAAAGAGAAAACGAGCAACAATCTATAAAAATAAATAAATAAATAAATAAATAAATAAATAAATAAATAAATAAATAAATAGATAGATAGATAAAGAAGCTGCCAAGGATACAATCCATAACAAGATTGAGTTGTTCTTCCATGCGCCCAAAAACCCGATTATTGATCTGAAACGATTATTAAACAACACACACAGACACATTGGTGGCACAAAGTAAGATACAAGTAAAATTACAAATAAAAAAAAAACAAGTATATCGAATAAAGGGGAACTTACACTACAAAGATTACAGAACCGAGGCCTATAACCGGCAATGTAAGTGATCTCTTACAGCTGTCGTGGTGAGTGCTCATCCACACTCCAAAACCTATCACTCCCACAGCTATTAGCTACAAAAAAAATTAAAAAATTAAAATTAAAATTACGGGGCCCGTTTTCGTGAAAAGAATGAAATTTCAATCAAAACATGATACAATAATTTTGTTGGAAGTGCAATCATATATGTAGTCAGTGTTTATAACATTTTTAAACTTGTAAGGTTTTCTTCTTACACCAGAATTATTTTGTTGGAAGTGCAATCATATATGTAGTCAGTGTTTATAACATTTTTAAACTTGTAAGGTTTTCTTCTTACACCAGAATTAACTTTGTAATGTCAATACATTGCATAAGAACTTAAGGCCTCGTTTGGTTGACAAGATATACGATTAAATAATCTAATGAAAATCCAATTATTTTATCGGACTCCAGGACGTCAAAAAAAAAACTCCCTAAAATGCAAGATAAGCTATAACATAATATTTGCAGGTCGATCCGACAAGTTATCGGGGATACCAAACATCAAATAAAGTCAAATTATTTAGTTAATTATAGTTAATCTCCCCAACCAAACGAGGCCTAATAGTAAAAATCGACCGATTAGCCTTACCAAATGACGTTATAATTACCCCCAAAAAAAAGATTCAAAAAAAAAAAATTTGTGGAGCACACCTAGGGCCTTGTTTGGTTGCCAAGATAAAATTAGCCATAATACGATTAAATAATCTAATGAAACCCAATTATATAGTTGGACCTTCGCATGATCCAACACAAAAGAACATAATATTTTCGGGTCGACCCGACAAGTTATCGAGGATACCAAACATCAAACAAGTCCAATTATTCAGTTAATAACGGTTAATCTCCCCAACCAAACGAGGCTTGAGAGTTAAAATCGACCAATTAGCTTTTACCAAATGACACTATAATCACCCCCAAAAAAAATTCAAAAAAAAAACTATCAAACGGTAAGAAAACAATAACAATAATACATAAATAAATAAATAATTAAAGAAAAAACCCAAGAAACAATGAAAGAATAAAAACGGAATCTTTGAAAATGCAAAGAATGAACGAGAGAGAAAAAGAAGAAGAGGGTTTGCATACAATAGTGAGAAAGTTGATCCATCGGATTAGAAAAGTGCTTGTTCCTGACCCTGACCTCATGTTTCTCTCACTAAAAAACCTTGCTTAGATTCTGCTCTTTCTCTCTCTAGAAACTATTCAAGAAACAAAAAACACACAGAACACGCACTGAGAGTAGCTGAGGTTTGGTGTATTATTAATGAGAGGAGAGAGAGAGAGAGAGAGAGAGATGGGAGCTTCAATTGAAATTGGTAGTAAGGTGCGCTTTGCTGCTGCACTGTGCAAGCAAGCAAGAAAGGGATATCGACAAAGAAGACAAGACAAACTGATTTTTCCTTTTTTTTTTTTATTTTTTTATTTGTGGATATTGAAAGGGGAAACTACAGATAAATCCCTAATCCAAAACTCAACACACAGATCAGTCCCTAGGTAGTTTCCCCAAGCAATTCAGTCCCTACTCACGCGCCTAACATGCAGTTCAGTCCCTAATAAAATGTGCAAATACTAAAATACCCTTTACTTTATACTAATTTTACATAACTTATTTCCAACCTCCAACGCGCCGTTTGTGTTACACGCTCTTTGCCCGTTACAAAGAAGAAAAAGAGAAGAAACGAAGAACAAAGAAACAACAAAGAAGGAAGAAACAACGAAGCACGAAGAATCAACAAAACGCAAAAAAATTATAAAACGAAAGGAAAAATAAAAATAAACAAACCCATTTCTCGACAATGGTGAAGCAGGGTAAACAACAAGGTTTGATTTTTTTTTTTCTTTCATTTTCTTGGAAACAGACCCATTTGGGTGTTGCTTAAGCTTGCAAAAATGTTTATTTGTTGTAGAATTGCATGATTTTGAACATATCCTCTCATGGGTATTATGCCTCGACTTTATTCGGTGTTTTCCCTAATCATTAAATCGGTTCCAATATCTGTTTTTCTGTTGTTTGGGTTTGCAAAGATCATTTATTTGTTGTCGAATTTCATGATTTTGTAACAGTTTCTTCATGGGTATTATTCTTCGGTGACATTAGCATGTCCCCAAAGCATTTTGAGTTCTAACAAGGGTTTCATATAGGATATGGGAAAGAGGCTTATTGTATTTTTCGTACTGGTTCTATAGTATGTGTCATGCGCAAAAATGGTATTAATAGTGCATTTGAATGGTATTACTAGTGACTTTGGATGGTATTGACATATGGTACTAGAAGTATAATGTTTGATGGTCCTGTAGTATAAGTCATATGCAATAATAGTATTATTAGTGCATTTGAATGGTATTACTAGTGACTTTTGATGGTATTGACATGTGGTACTAGAAGTATAATGTTTGATGGTCCTGTAGTATAAGTCATATGCCATAATAGTATTACTAGTGCCTTTGAATGGTATTACTAGTAACTTTGGATGGTTTTGACATGTGGAACTTTATAGTACGTTGTATTTGTTATAATTGTAGTTTTATGTGTATGTAATTGCAGGAATTGATGTAAAAGAAGATTGCAGTCAATGTATGTATTTTATTTTCGTAGGCCTCGTTTTACAGCAAGGTAATTGAAAGAAGGTCTGGGTTGGAGATACAATCGGAAGGTCAATGGGTTCATGGATGCAGGCAGCAGGATGGGAACCTTGATTGCGGCTTGTTTGTCTGCATGTGGGCATATTGTCATGCTGTAGACAGTGAAAATATTTGGTTTAAGGCAAAAACTTGCGATTTCAAAACACTTCGCCCAAAACTAGCAATTATCTTTCTGAGGCATCGGGGAGTAGAAGTGGAAGCTAAAGATGAAAGAGATTTAGCGTTATTGTGAAAAAACTGGGAGTGGAAGTGTTTTGGGGTTTTAGTGTTTTTCTGTAATTAATTAATGAACAGATGAATGTGTTTTTGTGCCATTAACAATCTGTCCTTTTGTTGTAGAGCTAATAATACTATTGATTAGCTCTACTCGTACTTTTCCATTGTATACATTGTACTATATGTTTCGATGAAATGTACTTAACTTTTGAACACATGGTACTTTATTTTGCAATTAATTAGTTTGTATAAAGAATATAAGCGTACCATAAAAATGAGCAACAAATACTTTCTAGTCTATTCGAAGATACCTTGTCAACACTAGACTTGTACTTACTTGATGAACAAAGCGTACTTCACATGTGTATTCACGAAAAACATACCATAATCGATGTTGATCAACTCCCACATTGTTCCTATTTATTCTTAATAGTCTTAAACTGAAGAGTTGTGTCTTAAAATGCGATCATATGGATGCATTGGCCCGACAATAATATATAGAGTGTAACAATACTATATGAATGGCAAACATATACTTTATAAGTGAACAAGCGTACTATAGTCACGAATCACTTGTACTTCACATGTGTATTCATTGTACTTACTTGATGAACAAAGCGTACCATATTTTTTATGAATTGAATTGTACCAATTTCATTGACGCTTTAATGATCAATAAGTACGGGAGATGCATAAATTATGTTTTAGATGGTTATTTTAAGGTAGGTGAGAATTATTGTTGCGTTTGGAATACAAGATCCCATAAATATGTTGAATTTCATACATGATACTCATATACTATACAATATATTCATACAAGTCTACAATGCTCAAGTGTAAAACTAATATTTTCCTCAATTGTTACCATAATCGATACTGATCAACTCCCACATTGTCTCCATTCATTCTTAATAGTCTTAAAATGAAGAGTTGTGTCTTAAAATGCGATCATATGGATGCATTGGGCCGACAATAATATATAGACTGTAACAATACTATATGAATGGCAAACATATACTTTATCAGTGAACAAATCGTACTATAGTCACGAATCACTTGTACTTCACAAGTGTATTCATTGTACTTACTTGATGAACAAAGCGTACCATATTTTTTGATGAATTGAATTGTACCAATTTCATTGACGCTTTAATGATCAATAAGTACGGGAGATGCATAAATTATGTTTTAGATGGTTATTTTAAGGTAGGTGAGAATTATTGTTGCGTTTGGAATACAAGATCCCATAAATATGTTGAATTTCATACATGATACTCATATACTATACAATATATTCATACAAGTCTACAATGCTCAAGTGTAAAACTAATATTTTCCTCAATTGTTACCATAATCGATATTGATCAACTCCCACATTGTCTCCATTCATTCTCAATAGTCTTAAACTGAAGAGTTGTGTCTTAAAATGCGATCATATGGATGCATTGGCCCGACAATAATATATAGAGTGTAACAATACTATATGAATGGCAAACATATACTTTATCAGTGAACAAGCGTACTATAGTCACGAATCACTTGTACTTCACATGTGTATTCATTGTACTTACTTGATGAACAAAGCGTACCATATTTTTTGATGAATTGAATTGTACCAATTTCATTGACGCTTTAATGATCAATAAGTACGGGAGAGGCATAAATTATGTTTTATATGGTTATTTTAAGGTAGGTGAGAATTATTGTTGTGTTTGGAATACAAGATCCCATAAATATGTTGAATTTCATACATGATACTCATATACTATACAATATATTCATACAAGTCTACCATGCTCAAGTGTAAAACTAATATTTTCCTCAATTGTTACCATAATCGATATTGATCAACTCCCACATTGTCTCCATTCATTCTTAATAGTCTTAAAATGAAGAGTTGTGTCTTAAAATGCGATCATATGGATGCATTGGGCCGACAATAATATATAGACTGTAACAATACTATATGAATGGCAAACATATACTTTATCAGTGAACAAATCGTACTATAGTCACGAATCACTTGTACTTCACATGTGTATTCATTGTACTTACTTGATGAACAAAGCGTACCATATTTTTTGATGAATTGAATTGTACCAATTTCATTGACGCTTTAATGATCAATAAGTACGGGAGATGCATAAATTATGTTTTAGATGGTTATTTTAAGGTAGGTGAGAATTATTGTTGCGTTTGGAATACAAGATCCCATAAATATGTTGAATTTCATACATGATACTCATATACTATACAATATATTCATACAAGTCTACAATGCTCAAGTGTAAAACTAATATTTTCCTCAATTGTTACCATAATCGATACTGATCAACTCCCACATTGTCTCCATTCATTCTTAATAGTCTTAAAATGAAGAGTTGTGTCTTAAAATGCGATCATATGGATGCATTGGGCCGACAATAATATATAGACTGTAACAATACTATATGAATGGCAAACATATACTTTATCAGTGAACAAATCGTACTATAGTCACGAATCACTTGTACTTCACAAGTGTATTCATTGTACTTACTTGATGAACAAAGCGTACCATATTTTTTGATGAATTGAATTGTACCAATTTCATTGACGCTTTAATGATCAATAAGTACGGGAGATGCATAAATTATGTTTTAGATGGTTATTTTAAGGTAGGTGAGAATTATTGTTGCGTTTGGAATACAAGATCCCATAAATATGTTGAATTTCATACATGATACTCATATACTATACAATATATTCATACAAGTCTACAATGCTCAAGTGTAAAACTAATATTTTCCTCAATTGTTACCATAATCGATATTGATCAACTCCCACATTGTCTCCATTCATTCTCAATAGTCTTAAACTGAAGAGTTGTGTCTTAAAATGCGATCATATGGATGCATTGGCCCGACAATAATATATAGAGTGTAACAATACTATATGAATGGCAAACATATACTTTATCAGTGAACAAGCGTACTATAGTCACGAATCACTTGTACTTCACATGTGTATTCATTGTACTTACTTGATGAACAAAGCGTACCATATTTTTTGATGAATTGAATTGTACCAATTTCATTGACGCTTTAATGATCAATAAGTACGGGAGAGGCATAAATTATGTTTTATATGGTTATTTTAAGGTAGGTGAGAATTATTGTTGTGTTTGGAATACAAGATCCCATAAATATGTTGAATTTCATACATGATACTCATATACTATACAATATATTCATACAAGTCTACCATGCTCAAGTGTAAAACTAATATTTTCCTCAATTGTTACCATAATCGATATTGATCAACTCCCACATTGTCTCCATTCATTCTTAATAGTCTTAAAATGAAGAGTTGTGTCTTAAAATGCGATCATATGGATGCATTGGGCCGACAATAATATATAGACTGTAACAATACTATATGAATGGCAAACATATACTTTATCAGTGAACAAATCGTACTATAGTCACGAATCACTTGTACTTCACAAGTGTATTCATTGTACTTACTTGATGAACAAAGCGTACCATATTTTTTGATGAATTGAATTGTACCAATTTCATTGACGCTTTAATGATCAATAAGTACGGGAGATGCATAAATTATGTTTTAGATGGTTATTTTAAGGTAGGTGAGAATTATTGTTGCGTTTGGAATACAAGATCCCATAAATATGTTGAATTTCATACATGATACTCATATACTATACAATATATTCATACAAGTCTACAATGCTCAAGTGTAAAACTAATATTTTCCTCAATTGTTACCATAATCGATATTGATCAACTCCCACATTGTCTCCATTCATTCTCAATAGTCTTAAACTGAAGAGTTGTGTCTTAAAATGCGATCATATGGATGCATTGGCCCGACAATAATATATAGAGTGTAACAATACTATATGAATGGCAAACATATACTTTATCAGTGAACAAGCGTACTATAGTCACGAATCACTTGTACTTCACATGTGTATTCATTGTACTTACTTGATGAACAAAGCGTACCATATTTTTTGATGAATTGAATTGTACCAATTTCATTGACGCTTTAATGATCAATAAGTACGGGAGAGGCATAAATTATGTTTTATATGGTTATTTTAAGGTAGGTGAGAATTATTGTTGTGTTTGGAATACAAGATCCCATAAATATGTTGAATTTCATACATGATACTCATATACTATACAATATATTCATACAAGTCTACCATGCTCAAGTGTAAAACTAATATTTTCCTCAATTGTTACCATAATCGATATTGATCAACTCCCACATTGTCTCCATTCATTCTTAATAGTCTTAAAATGAAGAGTTGTGTCTTAAAATGCGATCATATGGATGCATTGGGCCGACAATAATATATAGACTGTAACAATACTATATGAATGGCAAACATATACTTTATCAGTGAACAAATCGTACTATAGTCACGAATCACTTGTACTTCACATGTGTATTCATTGTACTTACTTGATGAACAAAGCGTACTATATTCACGAATAACCCAAATTTTACCAGCTTATACATTGTACTTATTTGGTGGACAAAGCGTACTATATTCACGAATAACCCGAACTTTACCACCTTATACATTGTACTTATTTGGTGAACAAAGCGTACTATATTCACGAATAACCCGAACTTTACCAGCTTATACATTGTACTCTTATGTTCACTAATTAAACAACAGTACATAGGTTTTACATATCATGTAGACTGCAAATATTACTAGATTCAACACTATCAAACTATGAACTACTCCACCTTCAGAATTGCAATTCTTCACTTCACTTTCTTGATGGACTTGGTTCATCGACGCACTTGTAGCTTCATTTTCTTCACGATTTGAGTTGGAAAAAGTTTGCCCAACTTCAAATGGTTCACACCAATGGGAGTAGCCATGGTGTGGACAACAATAAAATAACCTTCCGGGATTCGAAACCATTGTGGGGTGGGTGGGTTTTACAGTGATTTTTTCGTCAGAAAAAGAGGAAACCAGAGGACTTGGTTCATCGACGCACTTATAGCTTCATTTTCTTCACGATTTGAGTTGGAAAAAGTTTGCCCAACTTCAAATGGTTCACACCAATGGGAGTAGCCATGGTGTGGGCAACATAAAATAACATTTCGGGATTCGAAACCATTGTGGGGTGGGTGGGTTTTACAGTGATTTTTTCGTCGGAAAAAGAGGAAACCAGATGAGAGAAAGAGAGAAGAAATAAAGAAGAAAGAGGGCAGATAGAAACAGAGAAGAAAGAGAAGAACGAAAGAGAAGATGAAGAGAGAGAAAAAGAAGAGAGAGAAAATGGTGAGAGTGAAAAAGAGGAGAGATAATATAATAAAATATATAAAATTCACATTAGGGACTGAACTGCATGTCAGACGCGTGAATAGGGACTGAATTGCTTGGGGAAACTATCTAGGGACTGATCTGTGTGTTGAGTTTTGGATTAGGGATTTATCTGTAGTTTCCCCATATTGAAATGATTGTATAAAAAAAGGAGGGGTATTTTGGGTAATCCAGGGAGTGGAAGGAGGGGTGATATGGGAAGAGAAAAAAAGTGCCCACATGGTTAAATGGAGGTTGTTGAAAATTTGCCACTTAATTGTGCTGGCTTTTGTAATAAATTAATGACTCTAATCCAAAGTTTATGGCTTTGGTCAAAAGAATCAAGACTAAGTTTGACTCTTGTCATTGGTTATTCTAGTCTAGCTATTTGATTAATGGGGCAATTTGTTATAGGTATTGTTATAAGAGATTTTATGTGTAATTTTCAGTAAATATATTGGTATTATTATGTCATAAATATCCATAATAATATATGGAAATAAAAATCTCCAAAATAATAGTCTATTTTGTATGATTTTTAATATTTGTATTCTTCATTTCCAAACCTTTAATTAATTTCAGAAAAATAAGACGCTAGATAAAAATTGCTTCGTTCTATATTGCCATAGATAAGAATCGTTCGCAACTTGCAGTTTTGAAATCTATGTTTTCGATTGCTTCATCCCTACCCTGTCATAGTTAAGAATCGTTCGCAATTTGTAGTTTTGAAATATCTATAGCTAATAATCATTTGCAACGAGCCGATAGAGAACATATACTATAGAGAGAGAGAGATTCCAATTTTCAATCCAATATAAGTTCCGGAACTTTCAGTTTTTTTCGAATATTACTCTTAAAATACCAAATTTTATTATGTATTTTACATTTTAGATGACCAAAATTTAAAAGGAAAAAATGCACATCACCCTCTATAATTTTTTTTTTTTTTTTTTTTTGCACTTTTTCCCCTAAAAATTCCAAAAAGTGATATTCCCCCGTTGAAATTTTATTTTGGTTGCACTTTGCCCCAAAAGCCAATTTTTGAAGGGCATTGTGCAACAAAATAACATTTTAAAAGGGCAACGTTTAAAATAGAACTCCATCATTCCCATTTGATTTGTCTTTCTAGAGAAAAGAAAAAAAAAAGATATTTCAAAATAATTGCCACTTTAGGATTCCAATGAAATATTTATTGTGTTTTTCTCAATTACACCCTTACTAGTCTTAAGAGAATTAATGGTAGAACATTTTTAAAAGTAGTTTTTCAGTCATTTTATTATGATTTTTCTAGAATCTATGCACATTTATTAGTTTTCTTAATATGTGTGAATTAACGTAAAACGACAATTAAAATATGAAGGAGGAAGTAGTATTTTTAAGGGGCAACGTGCAACAAAATTAACATTTAAAGGGGCAACATGCAACAAAATACTCAAATTTTACCTTCTAATTTCAGACGTATAAATGCAAAAAACAAAAATCATACTGAATAACTGAAAAAACTAAATTTTCTTACATACAAAAAACAAAATATTTTTTTTCCCACTAAATTATTAGTTTGATGGATCTTTTATTGTAATTGGTCAAAATATTTGGTATTAAATCTTTTACATTGGGCATCTTAAACTTTTGTAATTTTTTTCTCTTTTATCTTAACAGTCATTTCTTATTATAATATTATTTTCATGCATTAAATTAATATTTTTTTAAAAATGTTATAATACTAGTAGATATTATTATTATCTCCCAAAAAAAAGGGAGCATATATTTCAATTTGAACACTCAGAGTCAGAAGTCAACTGGGGTCCACTCCATAGGTAAAAAAAGTCAACTATCACACACATATTTTTTCATATAATAATTGGTGGAAAGAGACCCATTGCCTCAAAATTCAACTCTTTCATTACTGTCGATCTGTCATATGTGGACTACAGAGTTTCAAGCTTGAGGTGAGTTGCTTTCAAATTTCTTGATCTTGAATATATATATATATATATATATATATACATACGTATGTTTGTGTAGTATACTTTTAACAAGTATTTCGGTTAGAAAATTTGAGCTGAAATAGTGTTGTTGGTATGAAAATCTTCCCTAAAAATCTGTTGTTTCTTTCTCTGGTTCTGTTCACACAGTTGCTCGAATCCACTTCGAGCAATCAAGAAATTGCAGTCAAATGTTCGGACAAGGAAATAGCGGCGCTCCTCAAGTTCAAGGCCGAGGTGACAGATGACTACGGCCGTCTCTCTACATGGGGGGGACGAGATCACAACGACAACTGCTGCAGCTGGCAAGGTGTTCGATGTAATGCCCGAACCAATCGCGTTGCGGCGCTGGCTCTTCCGGGCCCGAAAGTCGAAGACTTCACCCTCTCCACACCTTTGAGAGGTAACATTAGCCGCTCTTTGATTGAATTGGTCGATTTGAATTATCTTGATCTCAGTAACAACGATTTCAGCACGATCCCGATACCCGAATTCATCGGTTCTCTTGGCAAATTAGCCTACCTCAATCTAAGCCGATCGAATTTCGTCGGCTTAGTGCCGCAAAATCTCGGCAATTTGTCCGTGTTGAGAGTTCTTGATTTGAGCGGCAATGAGCAGGTTTCTGCCGAAGACCTGAATTGGCTCGCGGGTTTTCGTGCTTTAGTGCATCTCGATCTTAGCAGGCTCTATTTTTACGATGTGAAAACGTGGCTGCGAGTAATAAACGAGCTGGCAATGTTAGAACATTTAAATTTGGGAAACTGTGGTCTCCACGAAACTCTTCTAACTTCGCTTTTCCCTCCGACCAATGGCTCTAGTCCTCTAGCTTTTCTTGATCTCTCTAACAATAATCTCGACAGGTTTTCGATCTTGCTTTGGTTTTCCAAGTTTAGCAGTCGTCTTACGCACATTAGTTTCTCTAGTAATAACGATGAAATCGATAGCGTCGAAGCTAAGATACCCGATAGTTTGTGGAATCTGACATCACTTTCGTATCTCGATCTCTCTTACAATAACCTTAAACAAGAAATTCCTAGTGCTTTAGGCAATATGTTGTCTCTTTCGTATATCGATTTCTCTGGCAACAAATTCGAAGGTTCGATTCCTCATACTCTAGGAAACATGGTGTCCCTTTCGTATTTAGATCTCTCTAGTAATAATCTCGAAGGTGGTTTTCCTAAATCCAACGGCAACCTCAAAGAATTAGTGAGACTACGTTTGAACGATAACAAGTTGGAAGGCGACTTAACTTATATGCATAACTTCTTATCGAATTCCACCAAGTTAGAGTTTCTTGAATTAAGTCGTAACAAATTTTACGGTTCGTTACCCCCTTTATCAAGATTCTCGTTTCTGAGAATCTTGAGTCTCGATAGTAACCAGTTGAACGGGTCATTCAGCGAAACGAGGCTAAATCTTCCCGATCTTATAATCTTGGATTTGTCTGGAAATCGACTTACGGGAGAATTGCCCGATCTTGCATCGTGTTCATCCTTAGAACTGTTACATTTAAATGATAACATGTTCGATGGGACTTTGACCGAAAGCATCGGACACCTCTCGAAGCTCAATTCTTTAGATCTTCACTCCAATCGATTCGAAGGCACAATGTCCGAAAAACATTTCTTCAATCTCTCGCAATTGGGAGTTTTGGACTTGTCTTTAAACTCGAATCTCACCTTAAATATCTCCCCCGAATGGAACCCTCTTTTCCAACTAGGTACAGTCAAGCTGTCCTATTGTAAACTCGGTCCAAATTTCCCTAAATGGCTTCAAAAGCAACAGAAAATTTTCCATCTCGATATATCCAGTTCCGATATCTCCGACACCATTCCGAATTGGTTTTGGGAAAACTCGCGCATTCTCGATTATCTGAATATTTCGCACAACAAAATTTCTGGCCCCTTTCAAAAGCTATACAGCGTTACTGTAGTAGACGCAAGTTCTAACGAATTCAACGGGTCGCTTCCCATTTTGCCTTATTCCATGCAAACGATCGATCTATCGAGAAACAGATTTTCGGGCGGGCTTTATTGGTTTTGCAATTCGACTTACGGAGGGACGATTGCCGATCTTTCGGACAATCTTTTATCGGGAGAGATTTCGAAAGATTGTTTTAAGAACTTGGTCACTCTTGATTACCTCAATTTGTCGAACAACAATTTTACGGGCGAAATTCCGAGCTTATCCGACGACTGGTACTGCACTTTCACTTCGTTGCATTTACGAAACAACACTTTTCGTGGAGAAATTCCTTCGTCGTTGAAGATTTGCGATCGTTTGCAAATCTTGGATCTTGGAGAAAATTCCTTCACCGGAAAAATACCCACATGGGTCGGTGAAAAGTTTCCCGATATGGGTATTTTGAGCCTAAGATCGAACGAGCTAAACGGTACCATCCCTTCGACTTTATGCCGTTTGCAGAATATTCAAATATTGGATCTTTCGGTGAATAAATTTTCCGGAACTATACCGAGATGTATAAGCAACTTCACTCTAATGGGAGCAAAACCAGGCTCGAATCGATGGCTCAACGGGCTTCGATTTCTTGTAATTCCTAAAGCAGCTGCGTTTTTCTACGACAACGCGTATATAACGTGGAAAGGACAGGTGTCCACATACTCGAAAACTCTTGGACTTTTGATAGTCATTGATCTTTCGAGCAATGATTTTACCGGACAAATCCCGCCTGAAATAACGGGTCTTGAAGGACTTGTCGCGTTGAATCTCTCGAGGAACAGCCTAGTTGGAACAATCCCACAAGATATCGACCGTTTGGATTTGCTGAACTTTCTTGATTTGTCGGAGAATAATATCTCGGGGAATATTCCGTTGGCGGTTTCGAGGCTGAGCCATCTCGGAGTGCTGGACTTATCGTTCAACAATCTGTCGGGTCGGATTCCGTGGGTTGACCATCTGTTGACTTTCGATGCTTCTGTCTATAAAGGGAATCTTGGATTGTGTGGGCCCCCACTTGCGAAACTTTGTCCGGGAGATGAGGTGTCAAAAACTCCGAGATCGGCAAATCCCGGTAACGAAGAGATTGAGTTTGGGGAGAATGTAGATAAGTTTTTAAATCGAGGGTTTTATATTAGTTTGGTGCTTGGGTTTATTGTCGGTTTTTGGGGTATTTTTGGGAGTTTGTTTCTTACAAAGTTTAGGTTGTTGATTGGTGTCGAGCGTTGGTTGCTTGTGAAGATGGGAGTCGAAAAAGGCCGTTTGCGACGGTATTTCCAGAATCAATAAAGATTGGTATTTCTCCAATATGTATTGTAGATGGAAAGTTTAATTTTGGATTAAGAATCTTGTAATGTTATTGAGATGTCTTAAATCCAATTTCAATCTCATCAAAGTTCCCATTCTTTCACTAGTGTGTGTGTGTGTGTGTGTGTAATCATGAACATTTGATGTAAAAATCGCATTTTCAATTTTAATATCTCGATTATTTCGATCGTTATTCAAGCTGCATTGGAAAACCGATGAAAAGATTTGATTCGGATTACGGTAAAAAGAAAAACACATTGTACATGTATAGACTCAATGAACTTGAAAGTAAACGTGAGTCACGTAGATGCTACACCTGATGTAAGTACACCAGATTCAGACGCATACACATATTAATCAATATAAAATATGTATAGATTCTTACACGCGTACGGTTAGATAGTATCCGATGAAATCCACCGGATGTAGTAGGCATTTAATAACCCATAAAACATGGATCTAATTAATAATCATCGTTCAACAAAACAAATCAAGACTATTTTCTCGATAGAATGCGGTTGCAAAAACAAAAACAAAAAAAAAAGCAAAAAAATGATAAAATATATATATAAAGGAAACGATAATAAATTCAATGGCAAAAAATCGAACAAAACTTTTAAAATTTGTATATATTTTTCTTTCCGTTTACTATGTCTCCTCAGTGGGTGCGGGGATATCGAGGTCGATTGTCTCGGCGCTATTTTTCCGGTGAGAAGTAGTAGTCTCGGTAAGGTGAGCGTAGCTGCCCTTCTCCTTGAAGAGCTGAGCAAAATGTGGCTTGCAGTACAGAATCCCGTCTAATGCAGCGTACGACGACGTATTGAGGAAGCATCCCCCATGGGCACATTTGAAGCATGATTTGTGGTAGAATTCACCCTCCATTGTTACCTACAAAATCCCCGAAAATAAAATAAAATAAAATAAAATATTCGATTACCATCTTAAGTAACTAAATAGTCATCATTAGCCAATATTCGATCAAATTGACAAGCAATTTGAGTAACGGGTAAATTACATATGCCCCCTGAGGTAGGTAAGTTCTGTTTATGAAAAAATTCTCATGTTTCCATAATTACATTCACCCCTGAGATTTCTTATATTGACACCCTTTTGTAGGGGTGGATGTAAGAAATTTACAAACTGCAGGGGGCTGGATGTAATTTATACAAAAATGAGGGATTTTTTTAAATAAACTTTACTTCAGAGATGTGGTTGTTAAAATTCCCAAAAATTATAATAAAATAAAATATTCGATTACCGTCTTAAGTAACTAAATAGTCATCATTAGCCAATATTCGATCAAATTGACAAGTAATTTGAGTAAACAGTAAATTACATCTGCCCCCTCAAGTAATGCCTGTTTATGAAAAAAACCTCGTATTTCCATAATTACATTCACCCTTGATATTTGTAGATTTCTCATATTAACATCCTTATGTAGGGGGTGGACGAAAGAAATTTACAAAATGCAGAGGTTGGATATAATTTCTAAAAAAATGAGGGGATTTTTTGTAAATAAAAAACTTTACCTCAGGGAGGTGGTTGTAATAAATAAACTATAAATGAAATTTACAACAAACCTTCTCCAATGGGTAGACTGTCTTTGCACAGACAGCACATTTGTCTTGAGTTCCAGAGAAAAATGCAGAAACTTTACTGGAACTCTTCTGCAATTTAAATATTGTGGAAACATAATATATAAAATATCGAAAAATTCAATATCGATACGATTTTTTTCTTCTATAAAAGTACGAGTACATGCATTCGTATTTTTTTTTTCCGATTTATTATCAGCCGATTTTAAGGATGATGAGATTAGAATATCGCGTACCGTTTCTCCGTCTTTCTCAGCTGAAAAGGAAAATAATAAAACAATTAATACATAATATTTAAAGAAATAAATTAAATATTATGTTGGAAAAGAAAGCTCACAATTCTTCTTAGCAGTGAAGTTTCCATTTTCTTTGAAGAGTTGCTCAAAGTGAGGTTTGCAGTATAGTTGTCCCTCCACAGCAATGTAGTTGCTAATCTTTTAAATATTAAAAATAAAAAGTAAAAAATAAAATCAATTAAACCAAATGTAATTTTACCATAAACATGTATTGTTAATTATCCAATTTACACACATCCACATGTGTACGTGCGTGATTGTGTGTAAATCTGCTGTGTAATAAAATCATTCGATGCCAGGTGTAGAATCTACAAAATAATTACTGCCTCAATCCCATTTTATGCTTCGTTTTTTTGTTGTTGCGCACATATTAAAAAGATCAATAAACGTGCATAGATTATAACAAAAAAACATAGAAAAATCACTTAAAATAATCTTGTGATTAATTGTTTTCAGTTAATTAATTAAGAATGATAAATGGTAAAATAGAAAATAGTGCGATCAATGCTTCATTGAAATTGTAAAGTGACGAATAATTTGGGATCAAAACAAACTTTTCAAAGAGACAAATTACATGGAACAGATGTAATGACTAACAATTCGTCTATAAAAGCCGATCAAGTGTTTATATTCTTACAATGCATTTGATCTCGAGATTCGTCGTGACAATTTTCTGAATTTATCTATTATAATATTTTAAAAAAGAAAAACGAAAAACATACCGCAAGACGACCGTTGCAATGGGTGCATTTGAAGCAGGTCTTGTGGTAAGGGATTCCATCTGCAGACATCATCTCAACAAAATGCACAGTTTTATCGCAGGCCTTGCATTTCTGCGTGGTTCCATACTGAGACATTTTTGCTCGAAAATAAATAAATAAAAATTAATATATTTCTTTACGAACAAAAAAGCAAAAAAAAAAAAGAAAAAGAAAATTCAGTTTTCAAGAGTGCTTCTTCCACCACAAATGGGATTTTGAATTTGTTTATTTATTTTATTTTATTTTATTTATTTATAGAGGTGGAATAAAATAAACTCTCTTGCAATTGCTGTGTTTTGAATTATTTTGAAGCTTTTTATTTTTACTGTAATGGTTAAAAAGGTTGGGGTGAAAAGTAAAAACCAGACAAGTGTGTAGTGGAGCAGAATAATTCAGGCTAATATTAAGGAAATAAAGCAAATGTTTGAATGGAGGAAATTTATTGAGCCACAAATGAGTTAAGTGTGGATGTGGTAAATTGTTGAATTAACTTTGTCACCTCATAAATTACTATGTATTTGGGATTTTTTTTTATTAAGTAATTCCATTCTTTGAAACTATTTGCACACAGCACATGTGTCTATTTATATAAGTGAATTAAAATAAGGTCAAATGCAATATTAGATTAAAGATTCAATTCTCTTTGACATGTAATATTGATTCCCTCAAATATCATGCAACACAATATATCCTTCTTCATTCATCAATTAATTGTTGAGTTTATAAAGAAAATAAAATAGAAAAGTACTTGAACCCATATTTTTAAATTAATATCGGATACACAATTGAATCTCTATAAGTTAATACAGTTATGACTAGTAAACTTCTATTAATTTAGCGAAATATTAGATTATCGAACTAATAATTTAAGACATTTTCATGAAAGAATTATTATTTAAGCGAAATTATTAATTTATCGAATATTTATTCATCGAGGTTCTGCTGCAGGTCTATAGCCCACTATTCATACAAAGAAATTCACATACAAAATTCATATATAAACTATAATCTTGCAGTGTAAAGAAACTTTGACGCCATCCGAATCACGCAGGCATTGCCCGGGTGGTATGAGGGTAGTAAAAGGTCAAGGGTTCGAAATCCTTTAGGTACAGAATTATAGCCCATTTATAAGACCATTAAAAAAAAAGATAAAATAAAAGACAAAAACAAAACTTGCACAAATAAATACACAAAATTTCACTTCAAGAATCACACATTTCCTTCATAATAATAATAATAATAATAGTTCATTATCAATATTCCATAAATAAAAATCAAAATCAAAAGCTGCTAAAGCATGCAAACAATTTTTTCGGTATTCTGCCCGTTGCCCGAAACTTTGAAGCAACTTCCTCGACAGTGAGAAATTCCCCTGCCCGGTCAGCTTCGATGGATGCCTTGTTTTCTTCGGCTGCCCGATGAACTATCGACATCTTATTCTTCATTTTCTCTCCATATTCCGCCTTCTTCTTCTCAAACTTCTCCTGTGATCGCTCATATATGTTAAAGAGT